AAACACATTTAATTTTATAAACTTTACTATAAATATTTAATGAAAATAAATTTCAATAATCTCACAAATATATTTTACTTGCTACACTTTCCATCAATAACTTTCTATCAATGCAAAATTTGCAACATGAAAACACTTCTTCAACTGCTAAAACTTCAACCAACCGCATAACGGACTATCATAGAAACGCATCATAAATCGTTGTATTCAAATATCACAATATAATCATAGAACAAATGTTCCTGGAACTGCAGTGTGCTGTACCTCTCAGCAGATGGTCTACTGTTCCTAAGTTTATTGCTCGAATTATTCGTAGGTCGTCGGTATAGGTAAGATCAAACTGATTCTACGATTCATTTGTTAAACATTATTGAAATTACCAAAAATATAATATTTTGGCTATAAATTGAGACTTTTAATATACCCTAGTGCCTACATGCGATCTACATGCACACGATGAGCAAAACCAATTTAAAATCGGATCAGTGTTTTAGGCGTTTATTGCGGACGGACAACATGACACTAATTTTATACATATTAAGATATTGATACATATATGTTTATTTTCCTAACAATAAATCCAATAAATAAAAAACAACTTGTTTTTTGTGAATGTTTATTTACGACGTTTCGGAACTAGATACGTTCCATCATCCGGTTTCTTCTGTCAAAAACACTTTTTATATGGGAATAAACACATTAATATTACAGGCGTGGGATTCGAACCCGATCAGTTTTGACTTTCTTAAATGCAAATACAAAATGGCTGCTAGCTTCGAAACCGCTAACCCTGCCTTCCCAAAAATTTAATCAGTTCTTCATCTTGTCGATACAAGTACTTTGAGTTATTAAAATCGGGCGCTCCGTTCGCTTAAAAATTGAGTTTTTGCCGTTTTTGGCACTTTTTGTCCCGTATTTTCGCAATGGCTAGACCTGCCATCGCCAAAAACTAATCAGCACGTCTCCATATCAATTCGAATCGAATGTTCTTTGAGTTATTCAAATCGGTTGATCGGTGTTCCCGAAATCGTCGACGAAGATTTGTATCCACACACACTCACGCACACACACATACATCCATTTTTTCTAAAGTATGCCAAAATATTCAGAACCCTTTGACATGTAAAGATATATAACAATGTTTATTTTCCGCTTTTTTGCGATTACTATAACTGCCCTACGAAAGAATTTTTTTTTAATTATAGAAAATAAAAAATAAAATTAAGTAGCAAAAATTATTTACCTGCAATATTGATCTATCTATCCATAACACTAATTTTTTGTTTAAAACACTGGGAAAAAATTTTTTTAGAGTATTTGTAAAATTTGACTTCACACGGCTAAGTTAATGTCTGTAATGGACTTCTGTTACACAGATGTGTCTAAGGTCCAAACGCGAATATTGTTTTGTGGTCCTTGCATTGACAATTTACGAAAAAAGGGAATTATTTTTTAATTTGAAAAAGTATAAATATTTTGTTGTTTTAGACAAAACGGAGAATTATTTTCATATACATATACATATACACACATATGCATGTACATATGTGTACATACATACATGTATACAAACACTTATATGCATTATAGTGTTAGAAGTATCGAGGCAAAGTATCGATACCGAGTACTGAAAAAAGAATCGAGGCAAAGTATCGATTCCGAAAAAGTATCGTGGCAAAAGTATCGATACTACTCAGTGTCGAATATCGAGTACTTTTCACCAAAATCAAACATAAGTGCAAAATATATCTAAAACTCTCTACATATCGAATTTCAATATTATGATAAATTCTATTGCCTGTATTTCATGCCGTTAAATCAGCATCATTTTCAACATTTGGAAAAGTTTAAAACAATAAATTTTCGATACTAATTTCAAATTCGATTTATGTGAAAAAGAAAAATACTCATTATTTAAAAAATAGTATCGTTTTGTGACGAAAGTATTCATTTATTTTTTCAAAAAAAAAAAAAAATCAGTAATTCTAAAATAATATCGTTTTGTGACGAAAGTATTCATTTATGAAATTAGTGTCGGCTAATTTATATCAAAAAGAAAAATACTCAATAATTAAAAAATAGTATCGTTTTGTGACGAAAGTATTCATTTATAATAATAGTGTCGGCTAATTTATTTCAAAAAGAAAAATACTCATTAATTAAACAATAGTATCGTTTTGTGACGAAGGTATTCATTTATAATAATAATGTTGGCTAATTTACTTCAAAAAGAAAAATACTCATTAATTAAACAATAGTATCGTTTTGTGACGAAAGTATTCATTTATAATAATAGTCTCGGCTAATTTATTTCAAAAAGAAAAATACTCAATAATTAAAAAATAGTATTGTTTGTGACGAAAATATTCATATATGGATTTAGTATCGGCTAATTTATTTCAAAAAGAAAAATACTCATTAATTAAACAATAGTATCGTTTTATGACGAAAGTATTCATTTATAATAATAGTGTCGGCTAATTTATTTCAAGAAAAATACTCATTAATTAAAAAATAGTATCGTTTTGTGACGAAAGTATTTATTTGTGAATTTAGTATCGGCTAATTTATATCAAAAAGAAAAATACTCAATAATTAAAAAATAGTATTGTTTTGTGACGAAAGTATTCATATATAGATTTAGTATCGGCTAATTTATTTCAAAAAGAAAAATACTCACTAATTAAACAATAGTATCGTTTTGTGACGAAAGTATTCATTTATAATAATAGTGTCGGCTAATTTATTTCAAGAAAAATACTCATTCATTAAAAAATAGTATCGTTTTGTGACGAAAGTATTTATTTATGAATTTAGTATCGGCTAATTTATATCAAAAAGAAAAATACTCAATAATTAAAAAATAGTATTGTTTTGTGGCGAAAGTATTCATTAATGGATTTAGTATCGGCTAATTTATTTCAAAAAGAAAAATACTCATTAATTAAACAATAGTATCGTTTTGTGACGAAAGTATTCATTTATAATAATAGTGTTGGCTAATTTATTTCAAAAAGAAAAATACTCGATAATTAAAAAATAGTCTAATCTTTCGAAGTATTCAACCTATGTAAACTAGGCTTTTATTCAATCGCGTTAGTTATAATACTGATTAAGAATGATATTAGAAATAATTGTGTTAAGAAATCTTTAGAATTATTTTACTATTATCCTATTACATATAATAGTTGTATGTGCACAGATGCACTGGACGCTTTTGCATATTATGTTCTTCTTACAATAGATTAGGTACAATGACCATCCTTTTAACCCGAAAGTAAACAGCTTATTGTAAAAATTGGAGACATGATCAATTGTTAATTGTACCTTCAGACACAGGTTGGAAAAACCTATATATTTTTATTATATTTAATAATAAAATGATTAGGAAATAATTAATTGATTTCAATGGAATGTAAAAGCAAAAATTAGTTATAAGTTTAGATCGCGACGATATGATTTGTCGATGCCGCGGCATCCGCGTCGAACAATGAAAAAACAAAGCTGCTGCCGCTACAATCGTAAGTCTTACTTATTTTAGAAATAAGTATCGGCTTTCGAAATTAATATCGCAAATATAATAATTTCAATAGAAATACTCATTAACCATAAGTTAGTATTTATTAATAATAAAATAATTTCTATGGAAATACTTAACGATTATAAAGTAGTATTATTTTAGAAAAAAAGGTATCGGCTTTAAAAATTAGAATCGGAAATATAATAATTTTAATGGAAATACTAAACGATTATAAAGTATTTATTCTAGAAAAAAAAAGTATCGGATTTAGAAATTAGAATCGGAAAGAAAATAAATTTTAATGAAAATACTTAACGATTATAAAGTAGTATTTATTTTAGAAAAAAAAGTATCGGCTTTAAAAAATTAGAATCGGAAATCGAATGTCTTAATAAATTATTTAACCAAAGTTGGTTGCGAGACAATTTCGTAGATAACAAGATTTTTGCATACAATATATACAAAATTTATTATCGTTGATAAACATATGCTCTCGGGGGTAACAGAAATTATATTATCGACGTACGTAATCTTAAACTCTAATTCTTTTAATTATTGTTAATCATTGGCTCCGAACTGGGGGCATTCATATACATTTTCTTTAACAAAAACCACATCGCACTCGACTTATCGCTTGTTTCGTTTGTTATCTGTGAAGAGCGACAAAAGAGAATGAGTGGTGTTCATAAAATGCGGTCGAACTTTTGGTGAGGTCAAAAAATATAGCCGATACTTTTTTAGTAGAATCGGCGCAAAGTATCGATACCGCCAAAAGAATCGGCCTGAAGTATCGATTCCAAAAGTACTCAGTGTCGAAGTCAAAGTATCGATTCTTACTCAGTATCGATACTATCGTTCTAACGCCATATGCATATACATATACACATACCTATATTTTAACTATATGCACACACAATACACTACATATATATGTATGCATATACATGAAATCATTTTAAATATTAATCGTTTTTAATTAGATTTAAAAAAATTATATTGCATTTTTGATAGTTCTGCTATAACAAACTCTTTTATAGTATTTATTATATTTTCAGTTCACATATTATTTTGAGGACTTGCTATATTAATATTCAATTTGTCTCATCATTTGGCCGAGAAAGCATTGGATATGTGCGAGAGTGAATCGTTTTTTTTTTAAAGCGAATCCTAATAATTGTTTGCTAACGTTAAAATAATTTTTAATTTTGTATTTTCTGGTAGCAAGCTTATAACTAGTTTTTGATTAGCATTATTTGAAATAATATAATTTTTTATTTTACATAATATTGTCCAAATCTATCAAAGTATAAAGTTATACGTATACCTGAGGTATATATGGTTTTCTATGTATAAAGTTATACCAATTTTAAATTACAAGGTTAGGTCAATTCTGTGTGCCAAGGCGCTCATATCCTATGTTTTTATAAAATTCGTGATTTTCTTTAAACTTTTCTACTACTCATTCTGTCCCATTTAACAGGCAACAAATATTAATCATGGAGATAGCGGATCTGCAGCATTGGTTACGAAATCAGAGAGCAGTTCTTCACGTAGTCATGTAGAAACTGTGAGTGAGCGACCGCACACGATTTCAGCAGGTTTGTTCATTTATTGTCTCACTTACATTGCTTGATACGCAGGAATAGACTGTGTATACTGAATATATATATATATATATATATATATATATATACTAGCAAACCCGACGAACTCCGTTTCGCCACCAGATGGTTTCGTGAGAAAGATGAAGAATTTTTTTGTTTGTTTTATATTTGAAAAGGAAAAATTTGATCAGGAAGGAAAACCCGACTTATTTTTATATATATAGAAGATAATCTATTTGCAATTTTTTAAAACAATTATTGATTATTTTTATTACTCGAATTTTTAATTACGGTGCGTGAAGTTCCAGCAATTTGCATTAGGGCACGATGCCATGCACCGCTAATTTTCTTAGCTATAAACCTTGCGGAGCCCGAGACCTTTCCAAAGAATGCAAAATTGTCGAAATCGGTTCGTGCGTTCTGGAGTTATTTCGTCAGGAAGGAAAACCCGACTTATTTTTATATATATAGAAGATATATATTATAAAATTTTATGATATGAGTGGAACGAATATTAAATGTTTATTATGAACAAAACAGCACTCAGATTTTTTTAACACAACTTTATTTTATGATTACAAACGTTTCGAGACCAAGGTGTGCCTCATCTTCAGTGTAATTTTCAATAACAGTTACTTATTACTAAACACTCTTTAATATTTTATTTAAAAACTATATTTTGACTTTTGAATATAAAACACCAACTATTCCTTGCATTGGCAAGTGACAATTGTTTCAATCAAAGCTTGACACGGTACCAACTTCGGACTAACAATAGCATAAGTCTGAGAACCGCCACAAATATTTTACATGACACTTATATAAACACTTATATAAATAAGTTATAATTTTTTCATTTAGCTTATTCTTTTCAATAAATTAATCTGTTTTTTCATATTTTTTGAATTTTGTATGCGAGCGCTTTCCTATTGTTTACATTTTAGTGTTACCCATCCTGTCTCCGTTAGATACTTCAGATTTGTTTCGAATAATTCTGTAAATGTCACATGTCAGTTATTACCGTGTCAAGCTTTGATTGAAACAATTGTCACTTGACAATGCAAGGAATAGTTGGTGTTTTATATTCAAAAGTCAAAATATAGTTTTTAAATAAAATATTAAATAATGTTTAGTAATAAGTAACTGTTATTGAAAATTACACTGAAGATGAGGCACACCTTGGTCTCGAACCGTTTGTAATCATAAAATAAAGTTGTGTTAAAAAAATCTGAGTGCTGTTTTGTTCATAATAAACATTTAATAAAAAAATTTGACTCTTATTCGTTCCGTTCTCAAAGACAATAGTTACCCTTCGCACTTGGTCAACAACATCATTAATAATAGATTAATTTATTTACAAACTAATTCTAATAATTCATTTTCACCTTCTTGTTCAAATTCAATAGCTTCCTCTTCCGCCCAATACGAAGGAACTATCTGTTTACCTTTTTTAAGCAATTTTTCATATTTTTTAAAAAAGTTATTTTCTTCAGAAGGATTCCGATTAGTTTTTAGTTTTGATAATACGTTTAATTGCCTTTTTTCGGTTCTTAAGTCTGGAACCCCGTCTGATAGGGTCACCGATTCTGTTTACAGGTTGGATTGCAATGATTGCAACATGTGTTATATTGGAGAAAGTTTCCAGTATATTTATAAGATAGTTAATCAACATATTTATAATTCAAAAAAATCCAAACTAATTCAAAACGATGTTTTCAGATCATATGCTCAATCTCAATCACACTTTTAACACTTCACATCCGGTTATTCTTCATATCGAAAAAAATATTGACCTTAGAAAATTTGCTGAATCCTTTTTTATTTCATTAAATTCCTCCTCTTGTGTTAATAAACGCAATTCATCCCACCTTTTACATGATAGTTACCAGATTGTTATTGATTTTATTAAAAAAACAAAAAAATAATTTGCTTATCTCTTTTATATTATTTTTTACAATATTGTTTTTTCTTGTTCTAACTTTTACATTGGTTTGCTTTTTCCTTTTGATCAATTCCAGTTCAAGCACTGTGTTCGATTCTTTTTCGTGCCTCGAGAATTTGTCCTTGATGCGTCCCCTCCCATTCCTATCAATACGCCTATTGAAATAATTCAGTCGAGTCTGGATGCTCGGTATGGGCGTGTTTCTCGCTTCACAATTATGCATTTCATAACTTTTAGTCAAATTAGTTTTCAAATCTTTTAGTTATTCATAATTTTTTCTAAAAAAATGTTTTTCTCTAATATGTTATTAAGTTTAATTTTTTAAAATAAATTTTTGTTGAGTGTTTTTGTCCTGTGGTGTGTATAATGTTTCTCTATGCTATAATTAATCTATATTGTTGTTTATATTAGTTAATAAAATTTTCAAATTGTTGTAGTTGCTGAATGATGACACGCATCTTGTGTCGAAACGTATAAATAAGTTTTTATACTTTATACCTTTTTTATTTCGACGAATGGGCTGCTAGTTACTTTGAAATATATATATATATATATATATATATATATATATATATATATATTAATTGTTTAATATGAACAAAACAGCACTCAGATTTGTTTAACACAACTTTATTTTATGATTACAGACGTTTCGAGACCATGGTGTGTCTCATCTTCAGTGTAATTTCAAAAACAGTTACTTATATACTACACATTCTTTAATAATTTATTTAAATTTCATTTAATTTTTTGGTATACAAAAAAACACCAACTATTCCTTGCAATGCTTGACACAGTACTAAAGAAACATACTCGTATAACACTTACAGAAATATTCTAAACAAATTTGATGTACTTATATAGATGGAGACAGAGAGGGTATCATTATAATGTAAACAAAAGGAGTGCTATCGCATACAAAATCGATAAAAATGAAAAAACAAATTAATTTATTGAAAAGAATAAGATAAATGAAAAAAATTATAAATTATTAATGATGTTTATATAAGTGTCATGTAAAATATTTGTGTCGGTTCTTAGATTTATGCTATTGTTAGTCCGAACTATTAACATTGATTCTGCCATGCTCCGTTTAAATAAGTCTTTCTCATGGAATAAAATTTGGGGATTGTCAAAATCAAACTTATGGTTGTTGATATTAGCATGATCCACAAGTGTACTTTTAAATTTTTTTGGTCTATTTCAGATATGTCGATGACACATTAATATTACTTAATAAAAAAGATATAGATAATGTTTTCAACAAATTCAATGAGTACAATTCTTTTTTACAATTCACTCAGGAACTTGAAAATGATTCGACGTTACATTTTCTTGACGTAAAACTCATTAATAGAGGCGGTGTATGTTATACAGACTGGTACAGAAAAGATAGTTGGTCCGGGAGATACATTAATTTTAATTCGCATGTTCCTCTCAATATAAAAATTTCTACCATTCTAAATCTTGTAGATCACGCTATTTTATTATCTGATCCCCTGTTTTATGATACAAACATAAAATTAGTTAAAACGATCCTACTTGGCAATAATTTTCCATATAAGTTAATTTGTCCAATTATTAAAAATAGAGTCGCAAAATTACTTGAACCTTTTGATAAGAAACCGGAAGAGCCTGGCAAAACAAGTGTTCCTGAAAAAACTTTTTTCATTAATTTTCCATATCTTGACAATAATTTTAACCAATTATCAAAAAGACTTTTCAAAAAACATAATATTCGTATTACTTTTTCTCCATTAAAACAATTAAAATTTTTATATTCCAAAATTGAAGATGAAACTCCATTAACAAAAAAGAAAGATATAGTTTATAAAGTAAATTGTTTGGATTGTAATTGCTCTTATATTGGCCAGACCTGCCAGAACTTAGAAAAGAGACTCAGGCAACATGAATTACAATGTGAAAAAATAGATAACAAAAAATTTAAAAGTACACTTGTGGATCATGCTAATATCAACAACCATAAGTTTGATTTTGACAATCCCCAAATTTTATTCCATGAGAAAGACTTATTTAAACGGAGCATGGCAGAATCAATGTTAATAGTTCGGACTAACAATAGCATAAATCTAAGAACCGACACAAATATTTTACATGACATTTATATAAACATCATTAATAATTTATAAATTTTTTCATTTATCTTATTCTTTTCAATAAATTAATTTGTTTTTTCATTTTTATCGATTTTGTATGCGATAGCACTCCTTTTGTTTACATTATAATGATACCCTCTCTGTCTCCATCTATATAAGTACTTCAAATTTGTTTAGAATATTTCTGTAAGTGTTATACGAGTATGTTTCTTTAGTACTGTGTCAAGCATTGCAAGGAATAGTTGGTGTTTTTTTGTATACCAAAAAATTAAATGAAATTTAAATAAATTATTAAAGAATGTGTAGTATATAAGTAACTGTTTTTGAAATTACACTGAAGATGAGACACACCATGGTCTCGAAACGTCTGTAATCATAAAATAAAGTTGTGTTAAACAAATCTGAGTGCTGTTTTGTTCATATTAAACAATTAATATTCGTTCCACTCATATCATAAAATTCTATATATATATATATATATATATATATATATATATATATTAACAAAGTCTAATAATCGGGCATAACATCAATAAAAAACATGAATTTCTTTCAAAAATTTATTTTAAATCCATACGTTTCGGCTATAATCCTAGCCTTCATTCAGTGGAAACTAAAAATAAAATTAAAAACTAAAACAATTGAATTGGAGTGAAAAGAAAAAAATAAAATAGTAATTAGTACTTACAATTAGTTGATCTTAGTGTTAAATTGGAAAATTTTAATAATCCATGGTATTAGGATATGGTAATGCACTACACTATGTATTATAAACATTAACTTGAAATTACACAATATTTTCACAAAATACTGATTTGAAAAAATCACAAATGAATAGTGTGTTATTCGTAGACTGGTTGAAGATGTAATGGAGAAAGTCATTTTTTAAAAAATATTTTTACCAAGATTCTGCACATGTGTGGAACGAATTGTAA